AAAAAAAAAAAAAAAAAGTCGCATTCATTTTCCCGCGGTCTCTTACGACCGCGTCGTAAAGTCGCTGATTTAAAGACGACGCGCGCGAAAAGTAATGCGCTTTAAAGTTTAATCATCGTGGGATGTAACTTTGCGGTAACGACGAGTTCTCTTCGCGCGCACGCACCTGGTTACATTTCCATAAAAAAAATTTAAAAAAAAATAATAAAAAAAAAAAAAATACGCATAGTCGCGCGAATTTCGACGTTACTCCTCGAGGACACAACGAGGACGCGTCGAATCAATTATCGATCTGCTTTCCGTATCGCCGTCGTCGTCTTGAGCTCCGGCGCGATCGATCGATTCGCGAGTTTCCTCGCGGGGAACGGGCAATTTATTATCAAGGGCAACGTACCCTCGCGCCATTTGCAACTCATTTCATCGCCTGCCATCTGCGACGGCCGCTACGAAGACCGTGTAATCGCCCGTTCTCGCACACATCGCCGCGAAAACACACGAGGAATTTATGGAGCCGCTGCTGCGCGTCGTCGTCTTTTGCGCGCGAGACGTGTTGCCCATTCGAGAGGAATTTATATCGCGATTGGCTAAGAAATTCCTTTGAAGGAGAAACACACACCGCGCGCCTTTGTAAGATGTAACTCTCTCTCTCTATCTATCTCTTTCTCGTGTTCTATGTAATTAAGAGAGAGAAAGAGAGAGATAGAGAGATAGAATTTGCCTAATACGTTCTTAAATAATGAAATATCGCGCGCGTCTCTCTCCGCTTGGATGGAGATTACAGCGTTGCGCGGAAGCTGCTGCGCGATTTAATTAAATATTGACTCGTTAAACGCGCGACGACGTGTAAGCGCGCGTGAAAGTGGAGTGCAATTTAATTAATAATAGAGAATCCGTACAAAAATATCCGTGTATTTCCGTTACAAGTATTTGCGTATTTCGTTGCAAAATGGCGTTTTAAACGATTCGTTCTAACGGGCGTTCTGTGTAGCGCGCGCGCGCGCGCGCACGTTCGCGCTCGGAGTGTGTTTTATTTTTATTCGCGCGATATAATATACACGCGCGAAATGTATGATGTAACTGGAAAATTAACGAAGCCTCATCGCGCAACAATCAAGAGCATTGCTGCTGGTTGTTACGATTGTGATTAAAAATCGCGCTTCGTAATAACAATCCTAATATTTGTTCTGTTTGATAAACGGTTTGTAACAATGGCCCGCATTTCAGCACGTATCTACTTACAACAGGTGTTGTATTGTTTTTTAAAATTATTATTATTATTATTATTATTATTAGTATTATTATTATTAGTATTAGTATTAGTATTATTATTATTTCCGCCGCGCGCAATATTTTACGTCAAATAAACCGTCGCATCATATTCGATAACGAGTAACGTCGGAGCAAATATGAAATGGGAATGAAATTTACGACAAACAATAGCGAAATTCGCTGCGATTAATTACACTTTGTTTTTTGTTTCTCTCTCTTTTTTTTTTTTTTTTTTAATCTGCGCGTAGGAAAAACGCGTGTTTCGAATTGCGAGATAATGCGAGTTTTTTCTATTACAGCATGCGTGCGGTTAACGCAGTTAAGCATATATTTTGAACGAGGCTTTTTCCCCTTCCTCCCCCAGAGAGAGGGATAGTCACAGAGTTTTTAATGAAATTGTTCGCGCTGATGAGAGTAACGAGCATCATAAGGACTATCGTACATAACGTGCGTGAAGCGTACGACAAAAAAAAAAAAAAAAAAACAAGCTCCGGAACACGAACGTGTTCCCGCGCTAGTTTTATTTATTTATCCTCTTTTTATATTCTTCGTCAGTAATTTCGTTGCGACGATGTGATTAAGGTTCTCGCATGTGGTTTTCGCAATGTCACTTCAGCCAAAGTAATTGCAGAAACAAAACGCGTGTATATACATACGTACAAAGCGCATGTCTCTTACAATTCTCTAAACCGTACTTCTTTTATTTAAATTAATGATAATTTTTCTGACGGTGTCTTTTTTTTTTTTTTTTTTTTTTACACACAAAAACGATTTGTGTGTAAACAATTTCTCTAAAAATGCAAATCTATTTATAGAATTGAATAGCATCGCGCGTGCGCGCACACACGTTTTGAAATAATTTTACAAACAGATCCAACATTGTGAAAAAAAATAAAATAAAATAAAAACATCATCGTTATAATCCGATGCGGATAACAGAACAGTGAAATTAATATCGCGCACGATTGTGCGTCGCGCGCGCGTTGAACACGACAATGTCTCACATTTGATAGAGAGCTATTTTTCGAATTGTCGAACAGAGCCGAGCTGTCGCATATCAAACCGAATTCAAAGCGCTGATAAAAGGCTCACAGTCTCTTTTCAGGACTTGGCCATTCATGCCGCGCGGAAAATTCTTTCAGATTGAAAACTCGCGAATCGCGCGCGCCCCCAAAGAGAGGAGAGAATATTTGAGATTGCAAGAGTATATGAATGAGGCTCGCACAATCACCCAGGCCAGGTGGTGCGCCTGTCGCCGATAAAAATTGCGACGAATTTGACTCGCGCCGTAATTACATGTTCCGTGCGCGCGATAAAAGTCGCGCGAGGTCGTCAGTGTCGTTGGTGTAATTTGACGCAAAAACATAAAACGCATCGATCTCTTTGCGCGGTTTAATTTTAATTAAAGTAATTTAAGTTTTGTTTAAACTTGTTGCGCAAATCACGTATTTACGATTGCGCGTTTATTCGACAAAGCGGAATTGCATTTCTCAAGATGAGCAAGTGCCCGCAAATCGAGACAGTCTCGCGAAAATCGAACTTGGACGCTCGCTTTGTCTTCCTCGACTTAAGAGTGATCAAGCACTCTCGACATTCTCTACCGTTATCTGATCGCGCGACCCGAAGCTTATTTCGCTTCATTTGTCGATCTCAGTCGATGTTCCATTACACACCGCAAGCGCGCTCTCTATCTCTCTATCTCTCTATCTCGCTCTTTCTCTTTCTCTCTCTCTCTCTCTCTCTATCTATCTATCTCTGCCTACGGCTCGTCGGATTTGAGAAGCAACGACCCGTTTCGTGAGATACGGTGCCACGGCATTAGCGACCACTCGGACGTCCCGCCAACTAGTGAACTCTAATTTGCGGTCCCCACTAATTGAGGAACGATACGCGAGAGCTGACGTGATTGCATCGCCCGACAAATGAAGAGATTCCCAGATGCGACAGGGTCTCGCGCATTAACAGAGAAGATGTAACGCGCTAACGATATTAACAACTGTGTGGAGCAAGTTAAATTCAACGACGGCTGCAATTCGAATTGCAATTATTGCGACGCGCAAGATATTCGCTATTGTATATCTCTCTTGTACATTTCTGATATAAATTCTTTTGACACGTTCGTTATAGTAGTTTCGTTCGGCAAATGTGCGTTACGGACTGTATCGGTTTTTTTATACGTCGTTAAAAAAAAAAAAAAAAAAAACAAAATACTCACCTGGTGTGACGAGGAGCGCGATGCCAAAGAGCAAAGCTCTCGCCGCCATTTCCACGATTCGTCGGAAGTCCCCGCGACACCATCTTAACCGATGCCTCTTCTCTTCATCGTCGTCTTCCGCTTCGTCGTTCTTACTCGCGTTCTTGAACAGGCCCAGACAAAGCCGCAGCTTCCGGTACACCGCGCCGATCCCATCCGATTCGGGCATACGTCGCTTCAGAGTCTCCTTTTTCTCAACCGTTTCGCTCTCCTGACATCTGTAAGGCCGGCAACCTGTGCAGGTGGGCTGACCGGAAGCGAGAACCGCTTCGTGGTCAGTCCTCCTAAACATAAAATGTTTTTTTTTTTTTTTTTTGACTCTTTAATTTGTAATAATTAATAAAACATTTAATATGTAATTGATAAAGCACATTTAATATATATTTCTCTCTGTATCAATGAAAAATATTAAAAATATTATTAATAAAATTTAATATGTAATTTATATATTAATTTCGTCTACTATAGAAACAAAGTAGATAAATTTTTATTCTCCAATACAAGTAGATGAACTGTTTTTATTTTGTTTTGATTTTCACTTTGCGCATTTTTCATTTTGCACCGCGTAAGTAAAAAGTAGAGACACGCACGGCTGACTCGGGCGTCACTTGCGGCAAATGGATTACATTTCCACAGACATCCGTGATCACTTACCTGTCCTCGTGGTCGTCGCAGGCGGCGGTCTCCTCGGTAGCATGATAGCCGTCGTGCCTTAGGGACCGAAAAGCCTGCGAACAAGTTCCGCCAGTGCACTGGAACTCGAGCCTTCGCCGGAGGTCCGTGGCTTGTAGCCCTCCTCCGCCCCCCATACCCCCGCTCCCATAGTACCTGCGGGCATAAGCGGTCGACGCCCGTTATAACTATAGCACACGCAGCCGTAACAATCGCGGCTGGCCGGACTCTGTCTCTCTAATATCCGTAGGAGGCGAGCCACGGCCGGTAAATGACACGTCGCTCAATATGTCGCATAAAGCAGAAGTACCAGCGAGCAAGGAGCCGTGAAGTTATTGTACACGTGCTGCGGATAGAGGCGGGTTCGCGGCGCGAAAACGACGATGAATAACGGTTGAGAATTGTTAACTTCAGATATATCGCGTAATTTAATCAACATTTACAGTGATCGTTTATATACGCACAACTAGCAGATGTGCAAATACAGTTTTGTATACGTAGATTTTTTGTAAATCTTGTAATTTTGTAGATTAATACGCTTGAAAATTCGAATTGAAACTTCAACTCGAAAATTCATCCAAGATGTTTAATTTCTCCTATGTAATAAATTATTCATTTTTAAAGTTCACCGTTGAACGTTTATAAAATTAAGAATTGAGAAAACATTCGCGTTTTACGAACATTTCGATCATTTATTCTTTAATTGTGAAAAAAAAGAAAGAGTCAGCATCTAACTTCCGCGTTTAACATGGAAAAAGTAAAGAACGTGGATTAATTCGGATAGCTTTTACGTAAGTGGGACTGAAATTAGATAACGCTTGGCACGCGCTTTAAAGCAAAAATCCGATTTGTGTGCTTTTGTCTTTGTTGCACGAATGAAATCTGCTTACTCTTGCCGCTCCGCCACCACTACCGCTGCCCGGATCTTGCGCCCCCGGTGCTGATTTTTACGAGCCTCGCCACCTCCTCGCCCTTCTCAACAGCCACTTTAACCCCCGCAACGTGTCGCTCTCATCACCTGAAACATAAAAGAACACATTCATCAGCATCGTCGCTAATTGGGAACTAAAAAGAACGCTTTATCCGAAGCCGCGAAAAGAAAAAAAAAAAAGAAAAAAGAGAACGTGTCGTTACCCGATGATTATTAATGACGATAATCTCGTCGTTCGTCATTAATTATTGCGCACTCGCTGATAAATCATTATTTGATGCATTTGCGCACAACTGTTTAGTATTCCGCGTGAATATAAACTAGATACTCTTCGTACATGTAATAATCATTAGCGTGTACATATATATACATAAATATATATATGTATATGTATATATAAATATATATATATATATATATATATATTTATGTATATATATACACGTCGAGAAGCGTATACACTACGTGTGTGTGCGCGCGCGCGCGTGCAAGACGCGAAATGAATCCTTTAGGCGGATAGTTGAAATTCCATGTAGGCGAAACATGAATCGATTCGATTAAGCAACACACGTGCTCAGATACAAGCTTGATTGATTCAATTTGAGTTCCGGCTTCTGCGAACGGAGCAGAGCTTAGACGAAGCTCCGAAGATGGACTGATAATTGTATCACGTTCCTCGGGCTGTGCCACGTGACCTGGCAGGTGTAAAGATGGATTGGCGCAAAATGCTCTTTCTCTTCTTCTGTAGATCTGAGAGAGAGAAAGAGAGAGAGAGAGAGAGAGAGAGAGAGAAATTAAATATTTCCAAACTTCAAAGAATGCGGAACGTGGAATTCTATTAGTCGCTCAAGACTCAATTTGAAGTCTTTGTGATGCTTCAGTTCTATTTTAAGCAAAAAGAAATGCCCGCATCTGCGTACCGCGTGTACCGCGTTTATTTCCAGGTCGGATATAAATTGCCTGCACATATGTGAATTCGATTTTATCTCAAATGAAGCGAGAGAGTATCTGCGCACGCAAGTATTTTTAACGCTGTTTTAACATATGAAAAATGTTTCAATAATTTGACGTAAGTGCATTCAATAACGCGTGATTATGAAAGTAACGCGTATTGGAATTGTAAATTAGCGGCGATTGCATTTGACGCTGCAGTGCTTAACTTCCACATGGGAAACGGTCGCGATTTAATGCAAATTATATTACGATATATATATACACATACATATACGATATATTACGGTCACGAAATATATAATGGCGCGCGCGCGGGTTCACGAACCTCCCCCGCCCTCCCTGTGCGAGTTATTTATCGTGCGTCAATACGCGAAGATTTTGCCTCATTCAAGGCACGTTCGTGTAATACTAACTCTGACGGGAATTACGACCATTCTGCCCGATAAAACGATCGCTCTCTCTCTCTCTCTCTCTCTTTCTCTCTTTCTCCGCTCCCACCGATGTGAGAGACCAGGTGCGTATTAGATAGAAGTACTTCCCTCTCGGTGATTGCACCGCCGTGCCTATGCGGAATGAATGATGCGCGCGATGAAACGCGTTATTCGAAGTTATTAATGGAATGTGTGTGTGTGTGTGTGTGTGTGTGTGTGTGTGTGTGTGTGTGCGTGCGTGCGTGCGCGCGCGCGCGTGCCATTATATATTTCAGTAATAATATGTTAAATTTTTAAATGAGCAGAACAGAATTATTGTAAATTATTTAGCGGCAAATGCATAATAAAGTGCTTAAATAATTACAAGTTGTGGAATTGAAATAACAAGCACATTGAAATTGTTTAATTGAGAAATAAAGAGCAAAAAATTTCTGTTAATTATGTTTTATTACGGTTTATTGTTTAGTACTCGCGCGCGACTTCAACAAGAAAGAGAGAGAGAGAGAGAGAAAGAACTAAGATTTAATTTTTGCATTGTACACGAGCAAGTAATATGGTAAAAACATTCTGCGCAGAGTAATTTGCGAGCGAAAATATCGCGGTAAGGTATTACGCGATACCGTAAGCTCAGAGCGGCTTTTATTTACGATCAGCGTCGACTAGTAATGACGCAACATCAATCAGGTGCTGTTGCTCACTCGGAGGCTGAGCCAGATGTAAGATTAGACGTTTCCTTCATCCAGAAGAGCAAGAGACGAAGTTAAAATTTTCCGCGCGTGTCAACAGATAACAACGTTCTCTTTGTATTGTTTATCGTTTATGTCTCTCTCTGTATTGTTTGTCGTTATTTATACACAGTAAATTTTATATTAAAATTTACCGCACAAGTTGCACTTATTGTTTTAGTCGCAATATAATTTATAATTTTTTGATAAGAGAAAGAATATTTGTTGTGCGTTACATCATAAAGTTACTGAGTTAACAAAAATGTAAAATTTATTTATATCCATTATATCATCTTTGTTTGTTAATATAGTTTGAACAAAATAACGTCTGATTGTAATGTTATATTAATATTCGGGCAAGTTTGAAAATAAGTTACGAAGTAATTTTTTTCTAAACAGCAAGAGTGATTTAATATCTTGTATAGAATATACCTTTTGACATTGAGAAATGTTGCAAATAAGTTTTTAAATATTTTTAACTATGTTTTAAATAGTTTAAAAGTTTTTTAAAAATATTTAGCTTATCGATATTTTTCCCCATTCCCATTGCGGTCGTTGTTTTGATATTTTTTTTTTTTTTTAAAGTTATTGGTGTTTATCTAATCCATCGATCTAACTCGTTTCGAATAAATGTTCAATGGGATTTATATCCGGAGATTGAAATGGAAGCTGCAGTAATTTTGAACAATTGTACATATTTCGAATTATACTTTTTCTTTTTTTTATGTTTTTTGTGTGTTGATCAATCTTCACAATTTCATCATTTAAATGATCAATATTGTTTCACAATAAGATTTGGATCTCAATATTGTTTCAAATAAGTTAAATTGTGATCTTTTTTTGTTTTTTTTTTATTTTTTATTTCATACAAGTGCGCAGTGATAGTGTAATATTGTATCATTTCGGTATCGCGAAAGCCGTATAACGGGGTTTATGAGATCGTACAAGTGCCGCAAGTATTTTCTGCCAGATTCAGGCACGGCTAAAATTGACTTTTCGAACAGACATTGGTTACCTTACTATCCACGACTTTATAGCCGATATTATTTCCGGAGTAAAGTCACGTTTTACTGCCCCGCGTCAAACTACCCTAACTCAGATAGCGGTGGGTTTAAGCGTTTCTTACTTCATGACCGCGAGGTTGGGAGCAGTCGGGGAGGGCTGCGATTCCCTTCCCTTCGGGAGTCAGTTTGCAGATGTGATCTCCGGCAATCTCGATGGCAGAATATCGTACAATCGCAAACATAAGAAAATTTTTTTTTTACTTACGTCGTATCGAAACCCAAATTGTCCATAAATTGCGCGTCAAATAATTCGTCCCATTTGAGATTCTTCGAGAGAAAGACCGTTTCAAAAAAAAAAAACGCTTCCGCGATTAATACAGAGAGATAACAAAATTCACTTCACGGGGAACAACTGCAATCAAAGTTCGCAATGTGGAGCAACGAAGTGAGTCTTTCGGCCAGATTCCGCGTTTCTAGCAGTGCGCAATGCTCGCGTAGACTGAAGTTATTTCGCAGTTAGAACTATTTCCAAGGCCGGGGAATATTTGGAACGGCGCATAAACGAGGAGCGTATATAACCTAGTCTAGCTTGCGCGCACACACACGCGGTCGTCGTCACCTTGGCCGAAGAGAGGAATGCATGGCTACGACCAATGCTAATAGAAGGTTGCGAGAGCTGTAGTCTGTGTTCGAACAATGGCACATGTCGCCCACGCAATTGCAGCCCACTAAAGGGCTACATCGAGCTGTCATAACTCGTCTTCGTGTTCCTCGCTTATTAGCACCGAGCCGGTGGGACTGGCCAATTCCTCTCTCTCTCTCTCTCTCTCTCTCTGCAGTTTACTATCCATTCCTCTCTATGTAACATACACCACGCTGGCTTTAACGATAAATCGAAGTGTGACGACGAGTATATATGCCGAAACGTGTCGACGCGTGAAATTTCAGCATCGACTCGATAAAATCACTTTTATTTCATTTTCAAAAGCGAAAGTAGATTTTTAATAAATTTTTTTACGTCAAAAAAGTCTTGTGCTAAAATCAGAAGGACTCCACAGCCTCTACGCTGAATGCGAAATATACATATATTTTTCAACGTGTAAATAAATATAGAGATTCGAATTGAATAACAATTTAATATAAGATGCTATTTTGCATTACATATAAATAGATTTCTTGATGGCCGAATTGAGAAGAATGCGACCGCACGGAATGCGAGTTCGGCTCCAAAGTGTTTTTTTTTCTTTTTTACATCGAGATTTTTAATTAAATTTTATTGGCGGGTTAAATGATTAATTAATTTACACGTGTATATTAATTTACATATTAAAAAAAATGTATATTATATTTTGCATGTACATCCAGCGTATAAAAGTCTCTTTTATTTCTCCATTTAAATTTGTACTAATTGAAGCCGTGTTATAATTATTGATGTTTTGCGCTAGTTTTGCAATATTTGTAAAAATTACATATTCTCCTGTACAATAGTGTTAAAAATTATACATATAAAAGCGCCAAACATAAAAACTATTCATCTTCATTAGCGAATTATAAATGTCTCTGCGCTTAAATACCGGCCGCCAAGCGCAATAAATGTAAATGGTCAACTCAAACCGGTATCGATAGATCATTCTCGATGAATACGCGATTTTCTGCCTCCGACACCGCCGCGCGCGTCTGCTTTTGTATAATGCAATTTGCATCGCCTACTGCATCCGGCACGCTGTGTCATTTCGGAAACAGAACGAGAAACGGTCCCTGCTAATTGGTCCCTGCGTCACATGTCCCGTGTGACTTCATTCATTATCGGTGCCGGTTTGACGTAACCAGAAGCGAGGAAAGTATTGGCGCGGCATCGCGCGCGCGCACCGATACTGTATCGCGCGAGTACACGATTTTTTGACCTCGTTTTCCACACGTCCGCGGGCGACGCGTTTCAACCGCGTCGAGAGATCGTTATGTATCGCGTACTG